TTAAAATATTATCTACTCACCTAAAATATATTTACAGGTAACGACCCTTCCATGAATGGGATGTGAGATTTGTAATCTTAAAATAAACCAAGTTACATATATCAAGTAAATATGATCTAGTATATAATTCGAGCCAAAGCTAACGGATTCAGAGTTTTTGTGTGCAGTTTATCTCCTACTTCCTTGCAACGGGAGCAGCAGCAAGTTTTGGGATGACACATGATTTGAAGCAACTTCAAAACGGTGACGACACACTGAACAAATTTCTGGGCATTGCAAATGCTGCGGCCAGCCTTTGCCTTTTGGGATTCATTTTCGCTGCTGTTTCCTCAGTTTTCTCATCTTATGCTCTTCCCAAGAGAGCTTGATTTTAAAAAAAAAATCAATCTCTTAGTTTAAATCCAACGCTTTGAGATATTATTATTTCAAGATTTTGAAGTTTGCCTTGTGTTGAAGTTTCAATTTTTATTTAAAATGTATCTAATTGTTTTAAGTACGTTGGTGAAGTTGTGCAAGTCTTAGGGTGGTTTTGTATTTATTTTTGTAATATTTTGTTTTGGGAATTGTCTTTAATTTGGGTATTTAATTTCCTCTGTATCATTTAGAAATTGTTTTTTCCAAAGTTAATAAGAACATATTGCCTCCAAAACCGTTGCTCTTTAGTTAGAGACCGTTTGCAATCTTTAATTTTGAGAGTAAGCGAGAAACTTATGCTGGCGTTAATATGGCATTAACTTTTTAATTATTTGAATCTTTTAGTAGAATATTAAAGAGAGTCACGGCCGGCCAGCTCCTTCAGATACTCTTCCCATGTCTATTAATTTTCATTATCAGATAGAATTAAAAATGAAAAAGAAAAAATCGATCAGATTTTCTGTGCATCTTGCTGAGACCTAAATTATAAAGAAGATATAAATTATAGATATGCTAAAACCTAAATTTTCTTTATTGTTCATATGGATTTTCTTATTGGGAAAATTGTTACGTTAGCTCCGGTATTATCCCATGCCCTAAACGCCAAACGCCCGGAACGCCCTGGGCGTATGCCTCTTGAGACTTTCGCCCCACACCATCGCCCCGCTCACCCCCGAAAACACCTTTTAAAATACTGCCACCAACCACCACCATCCCGCCGTTTGTCGGCCTTATTGTAAGGGTTCTTACGCTTATTTGCCTGTCGATTTCACTCATCTTATTACCACCAACACTGATACTATTTCTACCAAAATTGGAGATGTCAAAATCACGTTTATGGATGTTTTTGCTTACCGGTAAAATTGTAACGATCCGGACGGTCGTTTTGAGTATTATAATCACTCTCCCCCATTTACTACTCAATTTATGCTTTACAGTTTTTTACGACTTACCGAGTTAGTTGGTTCGTGTCACGACCCAATTTTCCCTTTGTATGACGTCGTGACGGTACCTAGTCTGTATGACTAGGTAAGCCTAACAATTTACGGAATAAATGAAATAAAAACATAAATTTAACAACTAACTGTAGCAATAACATTATAACTGAGTACCATGCCACTTCGCATGTACAATAATTAATTCCTCAATATACTACACAACATTCCCAAAATCCGAAACATCATGAATCACAAACTACAGGAGGAAAATCTAGTATCTCTATACATCAGAGTCTATCAAAAGAGAATACAGAAGATAATGGACATGGGGAGGAGTAGAAGGGGACTATGAGGTCTGCGGACGTGGCAGATATACCTTGAAGTCTCCAAAGTTGTCTCAGCTCACTGACAGTGCGGCTGATAAGGAGCACCTGGATCTGCACACGAAAAATATGTGCAGAGAGTAGCATGAGTACACCACAATCGGTACCCAATAAATGTCAAACCTAATCTCGGTCGAGTAGTGACGAGCCAGGTCAGGACCCAACTAGTATATATAATAATAAAGAAAGGCAGGAATGAAATATCGCAGTAAAATAAATACTGAAATTTAACAAAAAAGAATTCATAGAAGGTAACAGCTCAGTACACAGAAATACAACAGGGGATCTCCCGAGAAACCGTCTCGTAGTCCCAAACGTAAATGTGCAGGGGGATCTCCCGGAATACTGTTCCGTAGTCCCAAAGTAAATATGAAAGACAGGGGGATCTCCCGCAATACCGTTCTGTAGTCTCAAAATAAATATGTAGACAGGGGGATCTCCCGAAATACCGTTCTGTAGTCCCAAAGTAAATATGCAAGACAGGGGGATCTCCCAGAATATCGTTCCGTAGTCCCAAAATAAACATGCAGTACATGGGGATCTCCCGAAATACCGTTCTGTAGTCCCAAAGTAAATATGCAAGACAGGGGGATCTCCCAGAATATCGTTCCGTAGTCCCAAAATAAACATGCAGTACATGGGGATCTCCCGAAATACCGTTCTGTAGTCCCAAAGTAAATATGCAGCTCAACTAACAGAAATAACAGTTACAGCAGGAAAAACTACAATTAAGACTAAGTTCAAGTCAAGAAAAAACAAGAATTTTACTAAAACATGCTGCACGGAGTTCAGATAAACAATTAAGGCAAGTAGGCATGCTATTTTAGTATAACAAGATACTACACATGTTGATAAGACTCAAATAAGAAGGAAAAACATGTTATTACTTAGTAGAAATCGGGTTTTTACAATAATTATTCCGTGTACGTACTCATCACCTCACGTACAAACGGCGCTCACATATCAAAACAGTGCCAAATCCTAAGGAGATTCCCCCACACAAAGTTAGGCAAGCCACTTACCTCGAACCAAGCTCAATTAATCGGTAAGAATGCCTTTTCCACGAATATCCAACACTGAATGGTTCGAATCTAACCAAAAATAATTCAATACAGTCAACAAAATTATAGGAATCAATTTCATAAGAAAATACTAAATGTTTCAATAAAAATCCAAAATTAACTCAAAAATTACATGTGAGGCCCACATCTCGAAATCCAGCGAAACTCACAAAATCCAACTGCCCATTCAATTACGAGTCCAACCATATCAGTTTCATTCAAATCCGACTCTGAATCGACACCGAAATCTCAAAAATTTATTTCTATAAGATTTCTAAAATTTTCCCAAATTTCCATCTCAAAACACTAATTAAATGGTGAAAATAATGATATATTCGTGTATATTGACCAAATTCGAGTTAGAATCACTTACCCCAATATTTTTCCTTGAAAGTCTATCAAACATCGCCTCTCCTCAAGCTCCAATTTGTTAAAAAGGGCAAATGGGACGAAGTCCCCTATTTTATAATTCTGCCCAGGCAGCCCTCGGTCCTGCCTCGATCCTGGCCCTCAATCCTAGCCTTGATCCGCGCCCTCGATCATGGATTCGATCATGGCCCTCAATCCTGGCCCTCGACCCTGGCTTCGATCCTGACCTTCGATCCTAGCCCTCGACCCTGGCCCTCGATCTTGGCCCTCGACCATGGCTTCGATCTTGGCCTTCGACCCTGGCTCTCGATCCTGGCCCTCGACCCTAGCGTTCGACCCTGGGCTCGATTTTTGGCTTCGATCCTAGGCTCGATTTTCTAGGCTTGTCAAACTTCCAAACTTAAATTCCTATTTTAGCCATTTCAAGCCTATTTTAACTACGGACTTTCAAATATAATTCTGAACATGCCCCTAAGTTCAAAATTACCATACGGAGCTATTGGAATCATCAAAATTCTATTCCGGGGTCGTTTGCACATAAGTCGACACCCGATCACTATTTGAACTTAAGCTTTAAAACTTGGAACTAAGTATTCCAATTCATTCCAAAACCTCGCCGGACCCGAACCAACTACCCCAACAAGTTACATAACAGTTATAAAGCATAGAATGAGTAGTAAATAGGGGAGTGGGGCTATAACTTTTAAAACGACTGTCCGAGTCGTTATAGTTCGGGTCCGAAAAATTATTTGGAGGTCGATAGTGGAATTAGGCTTGAAATGGTGAAAGTCGAATTTTTGAAAAGTTTGACTAGGGGGTTGACTTTTTGATATCGGGGGCAAAATCCGATTCTGAAAATTTTAATAGGTCTGTTATGTCATTTATAACTTGTGTGAAAAATTTGAGGTCAATCGGACTTGATTTGATAGGTTCTGGCGTCGTTTGTGGAAACTTGAAATTTTAAAGTTTATTAGGCTTGAATTGGGGTATGATTCGTAGTTTTAGCATTGTTTGAGGTGATTTGAGGGTTCGAATGCATTAGTATAATGTTTTAGGACATGTTGGTGTATTTGGTTGAGATCCCGAGGGCCTCAGGTGAGTTTCGGATGGTTAACGGATCAATTTTAGACTTGGCATTCCAGCTGAAGAATGTTGGTTTTCTGATACTGGTTTCCTTCTATGCGATCGCATGAGAATGTCCGCAATCGCGTAGGCTTGTTTGAGGCAGTGATGATTTTGTTCTTCGCGATTGTGTGAAAAGGGCCGCGATCGCGTAGCTGTGCGAGTTTGTTATTTGCGAATGCGTGAAGGAGGTCGCGTTCGCGTAGAGTAAGTGGAGCAGAAGTAGAGGTCACGCGTTTTGTTCTTCGCGATTGCGTGGACAAGTCCGCGATCGCGTAAGCCTGTGAGAGTAAGCTTCGCGATCGCGTAGGGTTAAATCTAGGTAGTGGAAATTTGTGCTTCGCGATCGCGTGTGGTTGTCCGCGATCGCGTAAGCCTGTGAGAGTAAGCTTCGCGATCGCGTGTGGTTGTCCGCGATCGCGTAGAGCAAATGACTAGGCAGAGAGTTTAAGTTTTATTTTTACCGATTTGGAGCTCGGAGAGAGAGAATTTTCGGGAGATTTTCAAGGAAAACAACGGGGTAAGTGTTCCTAACTCAATATTGATTAAATTACCCGAATCCATGGTTGTTTTGGACATTTAATTAGTGAATTAAGTTGGAAGATTTAGAAAACCCTCTTAGTTTAAATTGAAGATTTGAGGGTCGAGTTGAGGTCGGATTTTGGTAAAGTTGATATGGTTAGACTCGTGGTTGAATGGGCTTTCGGATTTTGTAACTTTTGTCGGGTTCCGAGACGTGGGTCCCACGGGCGATTTTTTAGCTAAATTTCATATTTTGTTGGAAAATTAGTATTTGCTTATGGAATTAATTCCAACAAATTTTATTGACCGAGTCGAATTATTTGTGGCTAGATTCGAGGCGTTTGGAGGCTAATACACGAGGAAAAGAGATTGCAGAATAAAGAATTAGACGGGTTGAGGTAAGTATTAGTTTGAAATTTGGTCTTGAGGGTATGAAACCCCGGAATATGTATTATGTGATTGGTTTTGAAGTGACGCACATGCTAGGTGATGGGCGTGTGGGCGTGCACCGTAGGAATTATGACTTGGTCAATTCCATGAAACTGTGTAGTTGAAAATTCTGATGATATCCGT